TTCATATGACTATGTTGTTATAAATCAACTACTAAACAACTTAAGCCATCGAATCTACAACATACCACTCATTCACCATCAATCAACTTGTAAACATCATTAAATAACCACCCGTCATCATACAACTTATGTCTGGCACCACTCATTGGGCGCTTCATGCCACTAAGGTAGGGAGCTCCCTATCTCCCCCATGCCCGATGTCTCACCATTTGTGCCTAGCGTGATTGCGACAAACAATGCCCCTTAGTCCCACGTCTAGTGTGGTAACACCCACGCCCGACCCCAATCAGGCAAAGAGCTCTCTATCTAACTCAAACCTAGTGCCACTCCACCAGCGCCTGACATGATCCCAGATAGAGACCAACCTCTCATCTCATGTTTGGCGCTATTTAATCCATGTCTAGCATAATTTCAACCTGATACGAGTCTCTCTCTTCATGTTCGTTGACACCAATCTTGCATCTAACATGAATGAGATAGAGGCATCTCTTTAGAACCATGTATAGCGCCTTAAAGGCGTGCCTGACACAATATCAATTTTTGCACTTTTACAGAACTTGATTTTGCATAAATCACTTGAAATCATAAAACCCCGACAACATGCAACCCAATAAACAACATATAACGCATGATTCAGTCATCAAAAGCAACATGCAACAACTATCAAACAAGAATTAATTCAATTTTTTCTACTTCTCTTTGAGGTCACAAAACCCTTTTAACTTCATCATTTAATCATTACACACCTTCAGCCAACTAATTTTCAATCATCACAACCACAAAAATGCACACCGTAATTCGAAATCACAGCTTTCCTTACCTTTCAGAGAAAATCTGCAAAGAAGAGAAGGATAGGAGAAGAATGAGCAACTCCACATGACTTCTACATGAATCTTCTGCTTCCACAAGCTCATATTTCAACCTTCCTCTAAGTTTAAGCTACAAGAAGTAAGAAAAAGAAGATTTCTCAAAAGGAATGAGAAGAAGAAGAAGATGATGATGATGATGATTTGAGTTCTTTGACTTCTCTCTAAGTTTTAGAAAATATGTATTATGAGTTTCTTTTTAAAAAATTTCCTTTTTAGACTTACTTGAGTTGATTTCCCCTATCTCTAGTCCAACCTCCAGAGATTAACATACTTTTAAGATCTCTGGATCCAAAGAACTCTCAACAATAATTAACACTATTATAAATATAATATTGTATAATCACACATCAAGATTCAACCAAAACATTTTCTTACTTAAAAGATAGGGTGTCGGTGTATTAAACTTTTTGCATATATTATCGAACTTTTTGACAATATATCCTTATGCTTGAGGAACAAAGTGTAGAATAGGTCACTAGAGCAAAAATGACTTTTAAAATCGGTTATTAAGAACCGATTTTGTATGTCGTTTTTAAAATCGGCTCTCAAATAGCCGATTTTAAAAGTAGCACTTTTAAAATCAGTTATTTGAGAGCCGATTTTAAAAACCACATACAAAATCGATTCCAGGTTAGCCGATGTTAAAAAGGTCAGCACTTAAGCTATATACTCTACGGTCCCATTCTTTCTTCCCCTCCATTCTCTAATCTTTGGCTCATATAATCTTTTCTTTACTCTCTTAGGCTCTCATCTAAAGTCTCCAGCTTCTCATTTTCTTGGAAGAATACAATATCAAGGTAACATTCTCTTCTTACGTCTGTTATTTCGTTGTTGCTGGGCGAATTTTGAAACTGGAACGGCCTGTACTACAAGCAGAACGGCCCGTACTGCATGCAGTACGGGCCGTTCTGCAAACAAAATAGCCCGTTCTGCAAGTAGAACGGGCCGTTCTGGGGAATTTTTTTACATTCTTAAGGATCTATAGTTTTGACTTTGGGAATTTGAATAATGTTGCATTTATTTGATCATTTTGGGACTTGGGTGTCTACTTGCTTCTTTGAGAGGATTTGATTCCGCAGTTACTATACTCAACAAGGAAAGTCGTCAATGCTGAGATTAGATTAATTAACTGTTTGATGCAGTGTATAAGCAATAAGCAGAAATTAAAAAAGAAGAAATCAAATTAGATTCTTGCTGTTATATGTAGTGCTTCAAATGTGTTAGAAACTGGAAGTACCTACTGTATAAATCCACACTCGTCAAGTTCTTCGTCATTTATGTTACATGAGTCACTCAAAATATATCAATATTAACAAAAAAAATATAAAATAAAAGAGGTATAAAAAATTAAATTAAGGTATATTTCATAACATATTTTAAAATAAATAATATCATCATATATATAATATTATGTTATATAAAATATTTTTATTATTAATACATAAACTACTCAGAAATAATATTTACTTTTTAAAAGAATATATTACATTGAACTGAATGGGATACTTGAGTATAAGCCAAACCAATCCAAAATGAGGTTAGTGGTTTGTCTCTAATTTTGTATGGGTAGTGTCTTGTCTTAATCTAAATTTTTTATTAAAAAAAATTGTCCTAAAAGATACATTATGTCTAATATCAAAACCTAATTACATTCGATCCTCTCCGGGCTGGCTGGCTTGAGTCAGGGGGTTGGGTTGGGTCTTGCTCAACACTACCGTGAATTAGTGTGTCTCTATCAATTTGATATGAATTTGCTAAAATATTATTATCTAGAATTTTTGTTTGATGAACATGCAAGTTTCAATATTTTCTTCTGGAATTTTATTAAGAAAGCCTATTATGTAATGTCAGAGAAATTTAAGAGATATTGCTGAGCTCTATGGAATCGAGTTATCTTTGCAAGGTGTTGAAGAATACCGAAGAGTCTCTGGAATACAATCCATCTGCTCAACATGCTTCAAGGCGGCAAGAATCAATGCCATACTCATTGATAATGGATTGAAATTGGACAAAAAGCATGATATAGAATGGCATAAGAGTTTTGCACCTATTGTAGGTAGAATCTTAAGAATTCAACGGTTGGCCGAGGAAATTCTTGATGAGGTGAGACACATAAACCCATTCACTTTTAATCTGCATTCCCGTGATTATTAGGCATCTAATATTGTTTTAGGTGCTTAATTTTACTCGTTTTGGTAACCATGTCATCTACACAGTTTGCTATATTCTTGATTTTATTAATTTGATCTATTAAAAACATATGAATTGTCTGGTATTTTATTAATTTACAGGTTTTGTTCAGGGATCCTACTAAAATAAATTAAATATTTTAGAAAAAATTAATCACTTTTAACATCGGTTAACGGCCGATATGTTAAAAGTCTCATTTTTTAAAATTGGCTCTTTTAAAATCAATTGCAGGACCGATTTTAAAAGTAAAAAATAACTAATTTTAAAAATATTTTTTTCCACTAATAAATATTATAAAGAGCCTTCATGATACAACATTTTATAGAAATGTAAACAAACTCGTGAAGGTTTTCAGAAGATGCATTATTTATTGAAATGTTTGAGTTAATGGGTTTGCACTTCCAAAAAACAAGTGCAGGATTCCTCTATTAAATGCAATAAAGACAACATTTGAAAATATTTCACGTATTTCAACTTGAAAATCATAATGAGTATAGTGTGATGAATAGACGTTTTGAACATACAATTGAACATGCATTAAATATAGAATAAATGTGCATTTAAAACTAACTTTTTATTAAATGGTTAGTTAATTAAGAGTCTTGTTTTTAGTCATTGGTTAAAGAATCAATATCTATAAAGTTTTCATCGAAAAATATTCTTGTTATAAAACATATTTAACCAGATGAAATTATATATGTTAATTTTATTATTGGATTTATAAACAAATATCATGTATCAATTTTATCTTTTTTATTTATTATTATATTTTTATGAGAGAGGTAAAGATATTATTTCATATAAAAAAATTATGCACCAATATCAATAAAAAAAATGACAATTAGGGAGTGTTTAAGAGGTGAGAGAGAGAACTTTGCAATATTTAATAGGGTAAAAAATGAAAAATAAAATTAACGTTTGGTAAAGCGTCCAATAAAAATGACCATCAATTATCACTTCTAAGGTGTCTAATAAAGTCACACATAAAAATGTGTAAATACATTTCTAGTAAAAACTTTTCACTTTTTTTATATAATAAGTGTTGTATAAGAAAAAAAAATAAGTCCCAATTATAAATGTTAATTTTTTAATATAATATTCTCTCTCTAAATCATAATTTTTTATAATTAAGATTTTAACTCACTTTTTAAGAAATATTTAATACTAGTATACTAACTCCAAAATATCCTTAATTATATCTTTAACAAAAACAATAATAGAGTAGGAATAACAATTGTTAAATAGGAGTATATATATATATATAAAAAAAAGTTAATTATATTACTTGAATGTAAAACATAAAAAAAATGGAACAAAATAAAAAGCTTAAAACATCAAAATTATGGATGGATGGAGTACTTCATTTTTATTTATATCCCTAATAATATTCTTTTAAAAGCTATTACTCATTAAGTCATATAATGAATGTCATGTATGAAAAAAAAAATCAAAATAGATGTCATTTTAACTTTTCAATGCAACATTAATTACTTTTTTTCTTTCCATTTATACCTCTGGCAATATCTCTTAGAAGTTGTTATTATGTTGCATGAATTCTAATAAAGAAGATTAATACCAACAACTCGTTGATTTATCACTTTATAAAGACTTACGTACAAAAGTCACTCTAGCTACCTCTATAAAAAAAAAATATATGATGATGGATGATTATTAACAATGCATGTGATTATAAAGTAAAATTTTTAAAAAATAAAAATTTGTTATTTATAAAAACGTAATTATAAAAAAAAATGTTTGCATCGAATAAGACAATATAGATTAATAGTGTATATATCACATTTCATCTGTTTTTTACTCCTAAATTGACGAGGTCTTTTTCAATTACATATTCTTTGCAATAACTGAATGTGCGTCTTATGTGGTTCATGCACTATAAATCTTTTCAATTGGCAGCAACTTGGTAAGCCGATCTTTCCCTCCTTGAGAAACAATTCCCACAAACTCGAGCACTCAACCTATAGCAATTTCATATAAAAAAACAAATACGCTAGTGGAACCTTGCAACAACCTCAGCAAAAATGTCAGCATCATCTAAACAAGGAGAGAAGCAAAGCACCAACGATAAGGCCAACCGACCCCCATCAAATACTCAAAAATGTCCATTCAATGTGAAGATGGTGCTAGAGGAGCTAAGACTTCAACGAGGGATAGCCCTTCCTCTTGTGGCCATGAACATTGCTTGTTTCGCCAAGACAGCCATAACAACAGCTTTTCTTGGCCACCTTGGTGAGCTGAACCTAGCCGGTGGCGCACTCGGCTTCACTTTTGCTAACGTCACTGGCTTCTCTGTCTTGAACGGTCTAAGCGCTGCCATGGAACCAATATGTGGACAAGCACATGGAGCCAACAACGTGAGGCTCCTTCACAAGACCCTTCTCATGACAACCCTGTTGTTGCTCTTGGCATCACTCCCCATATCTTTCTTGTGGCTTAACGTTGACAAGATTTTAGTTCGTTTTGGCCAACAAAAATATATCTCAACCGTGGCAAGAACATATGTTTGTTATCTCATACCAGACTTGTTGGTCACCTCGTTCCTTTGTCCCTTGAAAGCCTACCTCAGCTCTCAATGCATCACTCTTCCAACCATGTTTAGTTCTGCTGTGGCTCTAGCCTTTCACATACCCGTTAACATGGTATTATCCAAATCCATGGGGCTCCGAGGAGTTTCAATTTCGGTTTGGGTGACTGATCTCATGGTTGTGATTCTTCTGGCCACTTATGTTGTGGTTCTTGAAAGAAGAAATGGGAGGAGGATAGGAGGGTGGTGGGATCAGAATATGATGGATTGGATTAGGCTAATAAAGCTTTGTGGTTCATGCTGCCTCAACACTTGCCTTGAGTGGTGGTGTTATGAGATTCTAGTCTTGCTCACTGGTCACTTGTCTAATGCTATGCAAGAAGTGGGGGTTATAGCCATTGTGTTGAACTTTGACTACTTGCTTTACTCGGTGATGCTTTCTCTAGCAACTTGTGTTTCCACTCGTGTGTCCAATGAGCTTGGTGCTAACCGAGCTGGTTATGCTTATAAATCAGCACGAGTGTCTTTGGTGGTGAGTGTTATATCAGGTTGTGTTGGTGGTTCCATGATGGTGGCTGCTAGGGGGATTTGGGGGAATTTGTTTAGCCGTGACAAGGGGGTTATAAAGGGAGTGAAGAAGACAATGTTGTTGATGGCTCTAGTGGAAGTGTTTAATTTTCCAGTGGCAATTTGTGGAGGCATAGTACGAGGAACTGCAAGACCATGGTTAGGCATGTATGCAAATCTTGGTGGATTCTATTTGCTGGCGGTGCCACTGGGTGTGATTTTTGCCTTCAAGCTTCGCTTAGGACTTGCTGGACTTATTATAGGATTCTTGATTGGTGTTGTTACTTGCTTGATTTTGTTGTTAATGTTCATTGTGAGAATAAGTTGGGAGGAAGAAGCTACCAAGGCACAAACATTAGTATGTGCCACACAGGTAGAGGAAAGTCCCGCAAATGAGGTAAGTGAAAGTATTGAAGACCATGAGAATGATCAAGTGTGCAAAGAAACTCTGTCATCCCAAATTCTTGTTAGTGAGGAGAAGTTAGACACGCTAGAACCCGTAAATAAAATCAAGAGTCAAATCCGGTGATCATATTCCCGTGTGTACAATTTGTTAAGTCCCTTGTCAATCCGATTCTGAGTGTTTGTAATAATCCTGAATATCATTGCTAGTTGTAATCCTAGTAACGAATGTAGTGAGAGTTCAGATTTAAAAATTAGAAGATTAATGCATTTTAGATCCATAGGTAGAACGAAGTATTGGCCTATTAATATTATAATTGTACCAAATGATCATAATGCGCACTCAAGACAAAACTATTTGTTGATGCATTAAAAAGCAAAACATTAATTATCCGTCCACACAGATTTTAAGAAATTTAAAACTGCAGCCCTTTAAGTATCATTAAATTGGTAAAAACAAACGTGGAAGTAATACCTTCTATGTAGAAAGACAACAACTTTATAATTTGTAACCGATAGTTATGATATATTTTGGGAGTGTATATACCTTATTGTTACTATTATTATTTTTAGGAATATCTGGGCATAATTTTAGAAAGGTAGGAGGAGATAAGTTGATTCCTTTGTATTTACCTCGTATATATTTATAATATATGTTATTATTTGTTGCTATTATTATTTCTAGGAATATCCCTGATTGTAGCTATATACATGCTTGTAAAAGATATAGATAATATATAAAGTAGTGTAGTCTTCGCATGAATCTTTCATCTATTTGGTTATTAGTGCTAAACAACAGGACAAGAGAAATTAGTCATAGAAAACATATCTTTTTATGAAAAAAAAAATTATAAACTATTAAAATAAACTCATGTATCAAACAAATTTATTTTAGATAAACAATTTTCAAATCAGGCAGATACGTGGCCAAACACACTTTAAGTTCATCATTCTTCGCTACACGAACTCAATAAAAATTCATTGTGAGAAGCTTCAGATGCAATGCACAAACCAATTTTTCATTTGCATAGTTGGGTCAACATTCGAGATTCTTTTTAAGTTTAATTACTTAGTTGCTTTCTATAATAATTTTATTTTTAATCCAACACTTAAAAATCATCTATTTTTAATATTAACACTTTTAGTTTTTTTCCCCATAATTAAAAAAAGAAGTTAATGCCATTAAGAATAAATGAAGTAATGTTGACATGTCATTGAACGTGTCACTTAGGTGTGTCTTATGTTTTAATGTTTGAGAGTTGCTACGGTACCCTCAAAGATTGAGACAGTACATATCAAATATTCACATGCTGAGAAATATTGCTTCTGCTTATTCCAGATGTGTAATGCAGAATTCATTAGATGTTAAAACCAATTTCCTTTCTGTAGGTGTCTGTTCTATTACCAAGCCTTGCCTGAATTGACATAAGACCTTTTTTTTACTGGAACAGTACATGCATGTTTTGAACAAATTTAATTGAAAGAGAAACATAGATCAATAGATGTACTTGATAGTCTGTAATCTAACAATGAATACATGATAAATGCCTGTATGGACATGATTCTAGTCTTATTCTTGGTGAATTGTTATATGAACTTTCAGCAAATCTGGTGTCAAATGTCAACAATTTGTAACCAACCACTCAGTTTGAGAAATGATGCTCAATAGAAAAAGACATCTTATAACCTGGAAAGAAAAAATGACTAAATAATTTAAAAATTGAAAGAATAAAATATCATAAATATTATTTAAATAAATTATTAAAAATATAAAATATAAAAAACTGTATTGGTACCCTCTCAAATAAGATGGGTACCATAGAATTTCTCTTAATGTTTTTACTTCCACTATTTTATATTTGAGTTTTCATATTCGCGTAATTTTATCTTTTTATCATATTCATAAAAATTACTCATGTAAGTCTTTATACAAGATTTTTTTTATTCTTCCCTATCAATACTCACTTTCTCCTCCTTTTATTTTGCAGGTTTTATTTCTTTAAAATCTTCTTATATGAATTAATTGTCATTGAGCCTAAATTGGAGAGTATAAGGTTGCAAAATTTATATCCACTTGTAAATAGTGATTTGTGTTGACACTCCTTATAACCACCATAGATTTTGTATTGTTTTCACTACTTAAAGTGCTTAGATATATAATGTATTAAACTCTTGTTGCATCGTTTTAATCATTTTACTGTTGCTACATCAATTGTTTGAGTATTTGAATCATTACTATATGAACATTTTTTTCATGGTTTGATCTTTGTCATTATTTGCCATGTATTATGTTATCTCTAGGTTCTCTGGTAGTGGTACTACCACAAATTGGAAGAAAAAAAATGGGGTTGTTAAAAAGCCTCTATATATATATATATGAAAACTACAATATTTTTGTCATTCGTCATCTTAGACAAAACACTTATGTATGATAAACACATTATGCGATATAGAAAACAAAATAAATATAAATTAACATGTTTTCAAACATTGTATACAATAAAATTAAAATGATGTAACAAGTTCTCATCATTGCAATGAGAATCACAAAGTATAAGGAAGAAAAAAGTGGTTATGAGAGAAATAAAAAAAAATAAACAAGGGAGAGAGATGAGAAGGAGGAAGAAGTAAGGAGAAAGTGTTGATAAGGACTAAAGAATTAAAATAAAAAAAAGTTACTTATATAAGAATTAAAATGAGTAATTTCTAAATATAGGGATTAAAAAATTAAAAAATTTGCAAGTATAAAAACTAAAATATAAAAAATAATACAACTTTAACGCGTCAATATCACATTTACACACATTTTTTTTTAGCCGGATAGATTAAAAGTGAAGCAAAAGTATTTATTAGAAAATAAAATTCATGATTTTTAACTGCATAGTAAATTTAAAAAAAAAATTAAACTAAACATTCTTTTTATTTGTTTAAGCACAAATATGATTTTGAAATTCGGTTGAATATAGTGTTGAATCTTTAAATTTCACGAGCTACATACGATTATTTTTTTCAAAAAAAAAAAAGAACAAAAAGGGAGTTTTGACACCTAAACCACTTTCATTTGTGGCTTCTTTAGGTTGTGACTGTGAGGATATTGGGCCATGAAGTTGAAGCTTGGTCAGGTTGGCCTGACAGAGAAAGGCCTCTCTTAGTTTCTAACAAAATCAATGCCATACCACTGAAACTGAACAGGTCCACATTTCAGTATTTCACAATCAAAACGACAAAAACAAAGTATTTCACAATCAAAATAAACACTGGGCCAAGACTCCAAGAGCAAAGACGTTAAGAATTTATGTAGTCTATGCAAACATTACAAGAAATCCACACGGGACAATTTTTTCCGTGAAAACATCATGCATGGATAATTGCTGTACCTTGACAGGAGCATTTTGTTCAAATCACATTATCACTGATTCCAACTTCTACACGGTATATATCCCAACTTTCTCAGAAAAGAATGCCCTTCCATACTTATAGCTTTGACAACTTCACAAAAATTGCTTCTTAATGCTCATTTCTGTTTGAGGCTTTGATTAATTAAATATTCAATCTTATAGACAATAAGACGCAAAACCTTTAGATAGTAATGGTAAAACAACAGACGATACATATACACATACAAAGAAAAGTTTTAGAATCCTTCTATAGATATATAAATTAGAAGAGTTATCCCACAAGCACGTGTATCATCTAATATAAATTTATTTTAATTTAACTAGTAATTTTGAGTTTAAGTTCTAGATTTGAATATATAGTTGTGCTAAATACTTAATGGGAGAATTTTTTTTGTTCATAATGATTTTATCTGACTCAAACATAATTGTTTTTGGTAAAAGATATTTGTGGTCTATATAAAAAAAATAGATTAATTATGTTGTGCGAAAATGTTTTAGGAACTATTTTTCAATGAAAATATTTTTATTTTTTTTCAGTAATAATATTTTTAGAAATTTTTTTCAATCTATTATCTCTTCTAATTTATCTTTTTTTATTTTAGTTTTATATGTAATTTTAATATTTTTCAGCAAAAACAATATTTAATATATAATTTTTCAGCAGTGTAAAGTACTCCCTCTAAACCTATATATGAGTAAAAATAAACTAAATTAAAAAAAACTAAAATTTTTAGACTAAAATATAAACAAATTTCAATTAAGTCAACTTTATTTAATATTTTTTTTTAAAATATCTCTAAGATAATAAATGAGAACACTGTGTACTATAAATATAGTTAAGGATATTTTAGTAAATGTAGTATATATTTTATGTGAAATTATAAAAATTAAATATATTTAATTGATTTTCTTTACTTATATACAAGTACATGAGGAGTATATAATAGTGTGGTAAATGCTTTAGCACAGTCATTAAAAAAAACCTTGCTTTGATATTTATGATACAATTTTTTTTGGTGATCATTGATATTTATGATACAATAATGCACAGTATAAATCCACGTGCTCAACAACCCTTTATATTTCATAGCTTTTTTCTATTTTATATTATATTTTGTTTCTTAAGGAAATTTAGTTGATTGTGAAGTTTAGTTGCAGGATGTCTATCACACTTATATTGAATCTAAACTCCACCTAAATGTCCCATTTCAATTAAATTCACGTGGCAAATTCCCATCGAACTTTACTAACCCAATAGTTGGAGATTGATGTTTTCATCTAACTTTATGCAATTTAAGTAAGGCGCGGTGCAGGAGATTTTTCAATCAAGAATTTTGAGTGAGGGAATGACATTAGAGCTAATTAAGTTGCATCGACATAGTAGTTAGAAATTTTAGACTTATACACTGGAGACAATATTTAGTAAAAATATTTGTATTAAATATACTGTGCAAAAATCTTTCGAGTCAGAGACAGTGGTGACATGCATGAACTACAAGCAGAATTAGCGTATAGTTTAATATAATGTGAGGAGAAAGAAAACGTTGAAGCAACAAAGAAATTAACACGAATGACCAAACATAGAGAGTCTCAAAACAAGAAAAATCCCAGCTCATGTAAAATGAATAGTTAGGAGTAGGAGTTGTTACTTTCCTGTCTCCTTCAGGAGTTCTTTGGGAAATTAACCAAACACTAAGGACAAGGGTATAAAAAGGGCAAAGAAATGAACAAATACCTAAGAATGCTTGACTTTGCGGCTTGGAAACTAACGGCAGCAGAAGAGAAGTCAATTATGCAAGCTGGATCCAAGTGTGATGAAACCACGTTGATTCATCCAACGTACCAAGTAGTATGTGATG